ATTTTGATGGCAATGAAAAATGCAAAGATGACGACGACGACGAGAATGATGATGAACAAAAACAAACTGTTCAACACACGATTAATCAAGCGCGAAACAAAATTCATGAAGTAGTCAGGAGAAATGAAAATAATGCGAATCACAATCTTGATCAACCACGACGATGCAATCAAGATATATAAGGTAATGCATGACACTAATCACAACTTTTGATGAGAATGAATTTCTAAAAACAACTCTTAGCATTTTCATTTTAGAACATTAGAATCAAAATGATTAAAGAACTCTTTATTTATCTATGCTTTTTTGATGAAAACATATCTTAATATAATGTTAGACATAGCTCGAGTCCTTTCATTTTATCTTCTAAAGCTTTTTATCTTATAGATGAATGCTCTTCATTCAAAAATATTTTCAATAATTCAGTTTTGCTACTTAAGATAACGCATGTTCTATTTACTAGCCTAGATGGTTAAAAAAAACTCTTGATGTACCTTTCTGATCGATTTCGAAGATTCACGCATAAGTTCTTTTGTAATAAACTATATTTGCTTTCGAATCTTAAACGAGCCCAATTCAAAATATTCATTTTTCTGTAATTCGTTAAGTTTTCTAAAAAAATATATATATCTGTAAAATATTAGACTCTTTTTTAGCTTCAGCTGGTGAAAATAACTCGACAGGAATGTCAAACCAGTATCGAACTCGAAATGGACACCACATGTAGAGTTTTCCAACGGAGTTCAATCAGTTACGTACAGGTAGATTGAAAAAAGCGATCTATCAGAGTTGTTAGGAAATCAAATGATTTTCATCTATAAAAATACTACTTAAACGATATTATTCAAATTTATATTATTCTCAGCTGCAGCGCTCATACAAGCCATTTTTCTCTTGCTTTGATTGCATTCCTTTTATTCAGATATTCTATTGGTAAGCTAATAAATTATTTCTAGATTTAGCCGATGCTACTTCAAAACTAGTTAATCATGCTGAAACTCACCAAGACAAAGTTGAACATGTTGGGAACATTTGATTCGAACTTGAGGGTGTGGGTGTGGACGGTGCTGTTGGTTATCTTTTCTCTCAAAAACACCGACACCCACACCCGTCTTCGTAACATGTGAATTTATATCAGTATGTTAATAACTGTAAAGGTATCTTATTAGCATACTAGTATTTATCTTGTCTGCTACTTTGAGGCAAAAGTTATGATTGAAAAAAAAACAACTTTTAAATATCGCGCCATTGAAAAAGACCGAAGTTTCTTTGAAAATTCTAATTTTGTAGATTATTTTCAACTAGGCATGTGTTTACATTTCAATGGAATACATCGTTCTTGTATCATCTCTAATTCAAAGTGGTATGGAATAATATAAATTCAATTGTGTTCTTTATCTAGTGAGCCAACGGTTTTCGTAATCTTTGGTGTTTTCATATATCTTCATTTCGACAACACATCTAATTTTTGAATTTTACTTTGAAAGCTGCTCCATTCAATTCGCTACAAAAGTGTCTATATCGTGATTTACAATAGGAGAATTGAAATTTTTCATGGGGGAAATAGTGTGGTTCTATCAAACGTATCTATATGTCATACTCTTGTTTTTTTAATAAAAATTAGCTGCTAGGTACAACTGAATATTTTGTGCTTAAAAATAACAGACTATTGATATGCTGGATATTTGATCCTTAAAATACCGTTTTTTTTATTATGAATAGTATAGAAGAATGATTGTTTGATTAAGCGCCGATCAATCTCGACATCAACATGATTGCTTCTTCCGGACTAAATATGCTGCCAATGAGAATAGATATTCTTGGTTGTGTTTCACAAATAAGCGCATACTCCCTTCTGTTAGATATATCTCAATAGGTATTTCATTTTTATAATAGGTCTACGGATATTGCAATTTTTTAAATTGTTATCGCTTGCCATGTTAATGGCATTTAACGTTTCTATCGTGATAGAAAACTATTCAAATATAAAATTGTTGATTTCATTTAGAAAGAATCTTCAACATAAAACAGAGATCATTGAAAAATTTGTCTTTCGGTTTATTGTTCGATTACTTTTTCTTCTACAAGAATTCGAATTAAATACACTTTAAAAGTATTTCACAACTCATCGTAAGATTGAGATTAACAAAACTTCACCAAATTTCAATACAACATGTATAATAAGTATACGAAAAAATAACAATGTTCTACTTGAAAACAGAAATGTATGAGACTTTAGAGACACCAACTTGATTGTTCTTTGATTTGAGTATCTAGACGATAATTTTTTATCTTTTGATTTTGATTCATGATAGCAGATAAAGACGAAAAGAAATCACTAACAATAGAGTCTATTTGTTTATCATTGATATTTGTATGAATTGGACATGAAAATGAATATAGTAAAATTTCATCAGTGTGATCATTAATTTTAACATATAAACGAAAATTTCTTAATGTAGTGATATTCATTTCTGGAGTTGATAAATAAAAATAAATCAATGGATATCCAAGAACATAACCAAAAACAGTTGTATGATTTAAAGATTGAATTAAATTAGACCATTCTTCATTGGTTTCATTATCGAAATCGAGCTGTTCATGTTGTCGAGTATTGATCCAAGAGAGATGAGATCTAACTTTATCTAACACCGGATGATGATCGGTTGTCAGCATTGTATCCAAATCAATGATAAGAACTGACGTAGATGGATCTATTAATTTGGTTAACTGAGAACTATTCATAATGACAAGATCATTTAATGAATATTTCAGAATAATTGAACGAAAAGATAGATAACTTGAAAGACTAGCTAATAAATTTCTCATTTCTTGAATTGAAAATGAAAATAAATCGAATAGGTAAGCTGGTTTAATATTTAAATGCAAACATATTAATTGAGCAAACAATTCTCGACAATGTCGATGATAACGTCGATGAATATGTTGATAGAAAATTAGTTTTACATCATCGAATTTCATCTGAATATTAAACAAAAAGCATTAATCATTGTCTGTTCAAAAATAAATATCTGTGAGTGTAATCGTTTGGTTTACGAGATGTGCAAAACCAGTTTTAGTACTAGCAACAAAACAAATGTGCTCATGCATATCTCTACAGATTTTTTAATAATCCAGTCAAGAAGTATTGTACAATTATCGAAATTTCACTTGATTGACCTAGATCAAAGATTTGTCTACTCTTGTTCGAATGATGAAAACCTTAAATTTGTTTGATATTTTCAGTTAAGTTTATTCAAAAAAAAGTAGACACAATGATTACATTATTGAACAGACATTATTTATTTTACAATTTTATTGAAATCTAAATTTTCGTTTTGATTTCCATGTTTTCCTTTGTGGACAATGATATTGACTATGATTAATACGTCTATATGCTTCACGTAAGTGTTTTGGTTCCAGTGGTGTAGCTGGCTTATGTTCAATGTGATTTTCTCGACGTTGAATATCTAGAGCTTCTTCAATAATTTCTCCAACAAATACTTTAGCAATACCAGCCATTGCGATAACAACATTTGACGATGGTATTGTGCCTGTTATTGAATTCATTAAACGTTTTATTGAAACTTTTGAAAATGCCGAACGACGATACATTTCATATCGATCCAATTGTTCATCACTGAAATTCGATACAAGAACTTGTAATTTTATATTTGCTTCTTCGTCAGTGCTTGCATTTGCTCGCGAACGTTCATTGGTTTTAGGTTTTTCTTCTACTTTAGTTTCCTGTTCAACGGATCTTTCTACTTCCATATTTGTTGTCGAAGGAGAATGTTGTCCGATTAATGCCTCAAATTCATCATCTTGTCTTGGCGGTTGAAAAAAACTTGAATTATGATCATCGGTATTATTGAGAAAATGTTCCATTATTTTAAATCTATAATAATTCAAATAAAAATCATTAAGAATTCGAAATAAAATGGAGGCCATATATATTTTATTTTAAAAAATAATAATAATAAATCATGGTGATAAACGTTCGAATACCCAACCGTGAGTACCTTGATGTGTGACAGTTGGATCTATTGGAATAGTTTTATCAGCATCAGATCCAACATGACGAAATCGTATGCGATCTGATAATCGATTTGATTGGCCTTGATAGAATTCAAAGGTATGAGGTATTAGAAGAAAGCCACCCCTAGAAAAGTACTTTTCGAGTGTATTTTCATTGATAGATCGTTTTCTCAGAAAATATCATCCTCTATTTACCATCTTTCTGGTTTTTGAACTTCTAAATTACCATCGATATATTTTTGGCGTTGTTCCAGTAAAAACTATTTTCAAAACAAAATAAAATATTAAAATAAAAATATTTATCTTTCATTACTTGTCGACTTGGTATTGGTTGACTTTGTTTACTAATTGCTCCACTAATTTGTGAATCACGGGGACGTGACTTAAAATATTCGGTTGATTCAGCTTCAGACAATTTTTCAACACGACCATCAATACGAACCTATTAATATAGAATACAAACAGTTTATATTTAAAAATAATTCTTTTGTTTTTACAGATCGTGACATCGATGACCAGTAGAAACATATTGATGCTAGTGGATTTTCTTCCTGAAGAAAAAAAGTACTTATTATCATTTTTAGATTATAAAATTCCATTCACTTACTAAATCTTTTCCTTTGTTACTATCATAATTGGTAAAAAATTTAAAGCCAGTTTCATCGAAACTTTTCATTAATACGAATCGACTCGAAGGTACTCCACTTCTGAAAGTAAAAATCAGTTCGTATTGCTAATTATAATGTAATACTTCTCAAAAATACAATTTACTTTGAAGCTGTAGATAAACAAAATCCATTTGGTTCTTCGACATGTGCAACAGCTTCTTCAAACCATTTTTTAAATTGACCAAATGGTTCACGTGATACTAGATGTTCAATATCAAAATATTCGTCTAATCTTTTATATGGTTTTCGAATATCTATAGAAAACGAATAAAAAAATATCTTCAATTCTTATGCTATTTACTTGCAATATCGACGTTGGTATGAATATGTAAACGTGGTTCCATGACTTTAAACAACAAACGAACCAAGCGCATATAATCTAGAAAATAAAATTCCCTTTTTAGAGAACACAACCGAACAAGCTCATCGGACTGATGATAGTTAAAATTACTAAACTCAAGTCGATTATATAAACACTCAATTTTATCTTTCTTTGGAAATTTTTCATATTTTTCAATATGAGTCCAATCCGACACGATTGTTAAAAAATAATGATAGATGTCGTTGTATTGTAAATTAATTTCTATAATATATCTATTCAACGATTTGAATGCAATAGGTACAGAATAGTGTGTTTTTTTCGTCATATATCTAATTAAGACTAATAAAAATGATTTTTTTTCGATTGGTTTACTTTTGGCAAACATGTGATCCAGTCATGTGACAATACATGATTGTCTATATGCGACAAACTTTTCTTTGCTTATTTATTTGATCAGCAATCTTATATTTTAGTTTTACGTGCTTCCCTAGAGAAACATTTTCCTTCTTATTCTTTATCCCATCTTGCAATAACCATGAACAACATCTATTTAAGCTTGTTTGTATTGTGTTCCTAGACGAACTCTAACTTTCTAATTCTTATATTTTATTGAAGGTCATAAAATGTATAAAGCATTTACATCACTTTGGTTTAAGCCATCGTCAAAGAAAGGCCAACTGTCATCAGATTTATCAATCGATGAAGACAGTTGGGTATTTGTTACTGAATCGGGTACATATATTTTTGTTTTGTTTTTGATATAAACTAATTTCATACTAGTAGCACCACCAACAATAAAACATAATCATTTAATGACTAATAGTTGGATAGAACCAATACCTTCACAGAAAACCGATGAATCGACAGCGAATGTACATCATTTTAATCCAATTGAGAATTTACTTATTGAACATGCGAGTATGAGAATAAAAACAACGAATAATAATTATTATTGAGGTTAACTTTGATATTTTTAAGGTATGAGTGTTTATGAACAAATAGCTTCAAAAACGCGAACTAGACGTCCACGAAAATTTGTTTACGATGATGAACAAGTCGAAGAAGGAGACGAAGACGAAGAAGATGATGACGATCATGATGGTAGAATTTCAGTAAATCGTCATGTAAGAGTGATCTTTAAAAATTAGAAAAATTATTTTCTTTCGTATGCTTAGCATCCAAATTTAACTTCAGTTCATCATCGAAATATGAATATATCTTCAAATTCATTTACAACAACTCTCGAATCATCAACATTATCTTTGGCGGCTCATCATCGTCATTTGCAACGTTTACATCAACGACGTAAACGAACAAATAAATCAGCATCGAAATTAGCTGTGCCAAATACGGTTGATGAACAACCGAAACAAGAATTCAATGAAAATGTTGAATTGAAACCATTAAATTATACAAATACAGCTAAAATCTTTCTTCAACCACCGTCTCATACGAATAATTAACAAACAACACGATGTCCATTTTTTATCACAAAAGTTTTATTCTATTTTTCAGCGCCATTCCGTTCTATACGTATTTTCATTATTGTACCGGTACGATTATTTACTATATCAGTGTGTTCCTGTAAATACGAATTAAATTGTTTAGTTTTTGTATACAAAAATCAAACAAAAAAAATGTAGCATCATGCTTATTTTTATATTTTCTGTCGGTAGTTTTTAGTATTACTATATGATCTGAAATGTTTAGCTGATCTATTCACTTGTTTTTCTTCTCTATTGCTACTTATTTTAACACGAGTTCTTTTTCTTTCTTTTTTTTATGGCAGTTCTGCGTAAAAGTATGTGAAAAGAAAAAAAAAACTTACAAAAAGTGAAAAAACAGGTTTAGTGAAATAAAATCTAAAGGAATGTGATGATGACGATTTTTTTCTGTTACAGAAACAACAAGCCAATAGCTGAATTTTTAGATTGTTAAGAACAAAAACCTTGTCAATAATGATGATGTATTTGCATCGATGCCAAAAAAAATAACTGATGGAAATTATTAAAATACATCAACATCAAGGTTATTAATCGTGTTTTGAAATTGTAAATAGTCTAGAATATGAGTTTTTAACCTTATTATAGGTTCTGGTTCAACGACATCTCTTTTACAAGCAACTAACGAAAATAATTCAATGGACCATCGTGAACATGACCGAACAGTACAACATAATTCTTTCTTTCGAAGATTTTGGGATCCGTCACCGGACTCTATCATATCATCTCGATTTATTGCATTGTGTTTTCTAGTATTTTTTTATTATATAGGCTATGGTTATTTACAAGTTTGTCTCCGTCTGTAAATTAAAACTCACTTAACTCCTATTGTATTATTTCCTTAGGAACTTATGTTTACATTAGATGGCTTTGAAAATACTGCTTGGTTTTTAACTTGTTATCAATTTTTAGTTTACGCTTTTCTTTCATTTATTCACTTGGGTATTACAGGTCTCGATCAAAGACGGTATGTCGAAATGCTTGACTTTTCATACTATAATTATATCGGACTTATTCTAATTATTTTTAGGACAAGTTATGCTTCTTATATTCTACTTGCTCTACTCACGGTAATGACCATGGGTCTATCAAACTATGCAGTGGTTTATTTAAATTATCCGTAAGAATTTTAATGAAATTATTTTCAAAAAAAACAGGAAATGATTATATTCCATAGTACACAAGTTATGTTCAAATGCTGCAAACTTATACCAGTTCTTATCGGTGGAATTCTTATACAAAGTAGAAAGAATTTAGAATTTCTATAACGCTATATTTGTTTTATTGATTAGAAAAATCTTTTAATCGTTATGATGTTGCTGCCGCTTTTAGTATGTCAATTGGATTGATATTTTTCACTTTAGCTGATTCAAAGGTTCAACCAAATTTTAATTTATATGGTAACTGAAATGCGCAAACTCAATTCTTAATAAATAAAATTGAATTTATTTAGGTGTGTTGATCATTTTTTCTGCTCTTGTCGCTGATGCAGCAATAGGCAATTATCAAGAAAAAATCATGCGAGAACATCATGTTTCGAATGTTGAAATTGTTTTTTACAGTTTTATGTTTGGTTTTGGATTTGTTTTATTTGGTTTGTTGGTGACAAATAATTTCTTTGCAAGTTTTGAATTTTGGAATCAGGTTTCAAGTCTCATATTTTTCTGTCAAAATAAAATTGATTCTTTTTCAGCATCCAGTACCAACTTATGGTTACGGTTTAATTTTCTCAATCTTCGGTTATCTAGGCATTGATATTGTTCTTACGTTAATCAAAGAATATGGTGCATTAATCTGTGTTACTGTGACGACATGTCGAAAGGCGATAACAATTGTATTATCGTTTACACTTTTTTCAAAGCCATTTGTATTCGAGTATGTATAGACTTGATGTTCGTTTTGCTTGCGAAAAGCATTTCATTGACGGGATATATGCTATTAATGACATTGAGAGCACCCATCAAATGAATATGAAGGTCTACAGGTAGTCATAAAAGACACCGGAATGTAAAATTTCTGGTCGGCAGTTGCCTAGATTGTTTCAAACGCATTCTAAAATAAGGTCATAGAAACCACGTACTACGGATGATTTAAAATGGTTTAGAACAAAATCTTTCCAAACACTTAAGACCATACGGAGGAATACAGGCTACAGCTAAGAATAGAAACGTGAATAATTTCTTTTTTCTTTTTACGTTTACCTTGATTAGAGTGCATGTATCTAATAAGGACGGGGATTTTTTATGTCCATGTTTCGACTATAATATCTCTGTAAATTGGTGAGCAAATGAGCTGAAATTTTGCAGCAAAGTGGAAAAATTCTTTTTCTACCCAGGTTGATCAAAACGGACTCGTTTACAGTCTGTTTATCGACGGTAAACGATGTCAAAACGGTATATTTACGGCAGTAAATAGGCCGTATTTGCCCGTAATACCTGGGACAGTAATGCGACACCGTAAACGGAACTGAACTTTCATGGTTTACGGCTGTTTGTGCTCCATACTCTCATGATCATACAGTTCGTATTACTGCGCCAGATATTACGGCAATGTTTCACCCATAAAATAGTCGTAAAGTAACCGTACTGTTCGACCTGGGTAGATCATCTCTCAACTTTTTTCAAAAATGTTTTCACCAATAGATCGAAAAGAATTGTTCTACTTTGCTGCAAAATTTCAGCTCATTTGCTCACTATTTCACAGAGATATTATAGTCGAAATATGAACATAAAAAAAATCCCCGTTCTTATTAGGTACATGCACTCTATATAGATACATTAGTTAAATGTATCGAAATAAGTTAGTGTCTCTTTACTCATAATTGATCACTCTGTCAGTTATTGGGATTGCACTTGATGATTAATGATGTCTTGAATAAATATCTCATTTATTTTATTTTAGTTACATTTGGTCCGGTTTAATTGTTATTTTTGGAATTTATCTCAATGTTTACAGTCGACATCAAACAGAATTCAATGCAAAAATAGTATCAATTGCTAATATTTTATTCAATTCGCGTTGGTGGCCAAGGATTTTAGCACCAGTAACAAGCCGAACATTGTCTATTTAGTTAATAAATCTCAATTTTAAGTTTTTCTATTCTTTTGCGTTGGCAAATAATTTTTAACAATTTAGGCATTTTCTAATCTTCGTTAATCAGAGACAATAAACAAAAACTTATGTTTCTAGATGAGAATGAAATAAGCAGAGAATGAACTTTTATGATGGCGAGTCTTCCTACAACGTCATCACCAATTTATTTATTTGGTATAAATCTATCCGGTCATAGTCGATTAGTACAATTTTTAGCCACATCGACTGCTGTACTTGTTTTTCATGTACTGCAAGGATATATTCAAGTATGAAAAAATTAATAAATCAATATTTGTCGAAAAAACATTTTTATCCAATAGGAATTGATTTTACAATTAAAATCATTACGTGCTTATCCGAATTATTTTACACTTGTCTATTTCGTGTGTTTTACATGTTTGGCATATCTCGAACGATTGATATTTGAACGAACAATTAAAAGACGAAAGTTCGAGAAAATCTATTTTTTCTGGATAGGGTTTCACATTGTTCTGTTTACTGTCTAGAGCACCTATTCATACATATGCTATCATTGCATTGTTTACAATTGCGACGATGGGCTTAAGTAATGCAGCTGTTATGCGTCTCAATTATCCAACTCATATGATGTTTAAAAGTTGTAAATTAATACCGGTCATGATTGGTAGTATGATGATATTAGGTAAACGAAAGATGCAATATTATTCTCTTGTAAGACATATTTGTTTTGTATAGGAAAACGTTATAATCTTTATGATGTACTTGCTTGCTTATGTATGACTATTGGTTTGATATTTTTTACATTAGCCGATTCGCAAGTCCAACCTGAATTTGATCTAATAGGTAAAAAAAAGAACTCCATGTCTATGAATTAATTCTTCGTTTGTATGATTAGGCGTATGGCTTGTTTGTTGTGCGTTGATAGCTGATGCTGTGATTGGTAATGTGCAAGAAAAAGCATTGAAGGAATATAAACCAAGTAATTCTGAAATGGTATGAAACTAAATTCAAGAGTGTTGTTAGTAGTTGGCTTTGTCTTGACCCGATTGAATGTTAGTTTTTTTTCTTCAATCAGCGAGCTATTTGAAGTGTGTGTTTAACACATAGTGAGAGAACACCGACGCCTGAAGCGTATTCATATTTGTACATACTTGAAAAGAAGTAATGAAGGCAAACAATTAAAAGTATCTAGGCCATGAAGAACGCTATGATTAATAGGAGCCAGTGAATCACTAGAAAAACTATGAAGGCAGCGAAATTTCTTAACGTATATCATGGCCCTGTGAGAGAGAGAGAGAGAGAGAGAGAGAGAGAAACCCTTGTATCCTAAGCAAATAGACGGTGTGAACAGTATTTGAAATTTAGCTTTGATAAATTATTTAGATACTTTTTTCATATTCGATTGGTGCTCTTTATTTACTTATATTCGACTTAACGTTTGGCTCATTGAATGAAGCCTTTTGGCTTTGGTGGGCAGTATGTAAAACTTTCGAGAAGAAAACATTTTTTATTATGAATTTGTTTTTAGTATCCAGTTAAGTCATATGTTTTTACTATGATTTATGCATTTGCTGGTTATCTCGGTGTTAATTGCGTACTTGATCTAGTCCGACATTTCGGCGCACTGATAGCTGTTACGGGTTTGTTCGTTCACAGATAAAATTTGTTGCATAATCATGCTGTTTTAGTGACAACATTTCGCAAGACAATTACGATTGTTCTGTCATTTATTGCTTTTACTAAACCGTTTACTTTTCAGTAAGATTTTAAATTTAGTTGATTTTGTTTTGTATGAACTTCGATTTTATTTAGATATTTATGGTCGGGTGCTATTGTAGCTTTTGGAATTTATTTGAATGCTCATGGTCAAAATCAAAAATCAATTGAGAATTATACTCGTTCAATTTGTAATCGTTTATTATTGAAATTTCGCCGAAAAAATGCAAACTATCGAAATCTTCCCGCAACAGTTTAATTTATTTGTGTTTTCTTTTTTAAACAATAATCTCATTGTTATTGACTAATAAATAAATCCTGGTATTGTGATAATTAATAAGCACTGTCGTTTAGATCGTCCGGCATAGCGAATCGAAAAGTTTCATGAATTCATGTGTATTTGCAAAACACAACAAACGAAAGAAATTTTACTTCTACACGAATAACACAATGATATTTTGTCTAGATGTGCTATCTATTTGTGTAAATAGACCTTAGATCCACCCGCTGTTAAATAGTAGCGGCCACCTTGAGGACCTTCATAAATCGCTCGGCCACTTGCACTACCTTTACTAGTGAAAATTTCTCCAGTAAGACGTCCCTTAGATATATTCGATTTCGGCACATAATCATTTTCTAGGGAACGTATCGGCTGAATTTCGACGTTATCGTTCTCATCGAAACTATTTCTTTCATAGTCTTTAATATGATCTTCGTCGAAATGTGTTGAATCAATTGACATCTGATCAAGATTTTCATCCATAAAGGCACTTTCATCGTGTACAGTTTCGAAACGGCTTAAAATATCGATAAATCGTGGACGACTAGCTTTTGACCAAGAACAGCATTCCAGAAGTAATTTTCGTATGTGAGATGGTCCAGACTGGTTGGTGCAAATCTGAGTAAAAACAGGCGCACTTTCTTTTCGTTGAAGAGCTCGAAACAGTATGGAATCATCCTGGAATTGATCGAGCCATGGGTCACGACCACTGGCAGCTTCAAGTATAATGCAACCATAACTCCATACATCCGATGCAAACGATGATTGTTCTGGTGGAGGAGCGCATATTTCTGGTGCCATCCACCGAATGGTTCCTACAATAAATATGAAATAGTGATAGAGAACTAAACACAAATTAAATATTACCCTTTGCAGTTTGGTTTCTCTTCTTTGTTCCTGTTTCATTCTCAACGACTCTTGAAATACCAAAATCACAGATGACAGCTTGATAAGTATCAGTTCGTAAAAGAATATTATGACTTTTCAAATCACCTTGCGCAATATTACGTGTATGCAGATAGATCATTCCTCGAGCTACATCGGCTAATATCTGACAAATAATTGTCCAATATGAAGAGGAAGTAAATTGTTTTCCAATAAATTCACAAAGATTTCCACCAGTGATGTATTCCATCCCAAGATAGGCACTGCCTTGTTCATATTCCATACCAAAATATTTAATAATATTAACATGATTCAAATTTGTAACAATTTTCACATCAGCTTCGGCTCGATATGCATAGTTCTTTGGAAATACTTTAATAGCAGCAGGCCTACCACACCATGAACCAGAATATACAACACCTTCAGAACCGTGACTAATTATTGAACCTAATTGACATTTGGTTGGCATCTCGTTTCGTAATACTAACCGGTATAACTTCACTGTAAATTGTCTTTTGGGCTTATTTGAAAATTACCCAGTAGATGCTTCGAGAATTTTTTTCTTTTATATGACACCATTATGCGGCTCTGAATTCATCCTGTGAAGAAGAGAAAAAATAGTTTCAGCCAATTGTGTTGGAGTTGTCATTCTTTCCTGAGTCATAAAATGATCAGAATGGGAATTTTCCCCACTGAATAAAACAACATAAATACCTTCTCTCTCTGTGAAAGTATTGCATTACTTTTCAGAAAGTTTGATCAACACCTATATCGCATAAATTTTATACTCGAAAAAAGACATGGTAAGAAAAAAGATCTTTGCTTTTTAGTTGTAAAAATAAACATAAATATGATCATTCTCTAGGCTACTACTGAAGAAGAATTACGTGTTGTCCTACTTGGGAAAACAGGCAACGGTCAGTTTCAATTCTTAAAAGCTTCTTCTTCACTATTAATACGATGTCTTTTTAGGGAAAAGTGCAACTGGCAATTCGTTGCTACATTCACGAACTGCATTTTTCTCTACACAATCAGCGCAGTCGATAACAAAAGATTGTGAAGCGAAATCGGGTACTTGCACGGGTGTTAATGGAAGACAAAAACGTTTAGTCGTTGTCGATACGCCTGGGTTTTTTGATACAAACGAAGGAATCACGAATGAAAATGTGCAGAATAAAATTGCATCACAAATTTTCAATATGACATCACCTGGCGTTCATGCTTTTTTAATCGTTGTACGTGTCGACCGGTTCACGCCGGAAGAAAAAGACACAGTAGATTTCATCAAAAAAATATTTGGTGCCGGTGCTGCTAAATACTGTATCGTAATTTTAACTCGAGAAGATCAGTTGGATGACGGACAATCGATTGAGGAGTTCATAAATTCATCTCGACATTTGAAAGAATTAGTCGATTTGTGTGGGAATCGTAAACTTGCTATCAATAATAAAATTAGCGGTGGAATATTGGAGAGAAAAACAAAGGATTTGCTTCAAATGATTGATAGAATGGTAGAAAATAATAATCGAACTTATTATACAAACGATGAATATCAAAGAATCGAAAGACAACGACGAGAAGAGCAAGCGCGACGCGAAGAAGAAGAACGTAGGAAGAAAAAAGAATATGAAGATGCATTAAAGGCAAAAGTAGGATACATTCATGAAAAATGCATCGCTTTTTTTCTACGTGAAAATATGAATTGATTTTAGGCAACAAAGGAAGCAGAGCAAAAAGCGGCAAAACGAGAGCAAGAGGTAGTTTCTATTAATCCGTACAATGTAATATCGATTCGTCTCATTTTTCATGATTTTAGATACGAGAAGAAGCGCGAAAAAACGAGGAAAAACGTGTACAACAAGTAAGTGGATCTATGGATGCACGAGTTTTAATTCTAAATTTGAAAGAAACGTTTTAGGTCAGAGATGAAGAACGCAAAAGGACGGACAGACAGATACAAGAAGAACGTGATCGAGCAAGAGCAGCAGAAGAAGAAGCAAGGAGTGAACGAGTAACAGAATCAATAAAAATAAAAAAATGAATTTTCATTCATTAACTTCATATTTAGATGAGAAGTGCAAGAAGACAAGAGTCAGCATGTGGATCTCGAAGAGCTTGTGATGGCGACGATGATGGCGGTGGGTTAGGAGCCTTCTTAAATACACTTCGTTTGCACGGGGGAAACGATATGCCTTCGCCGAATACAGGAGGTATGGGTATGTCACCGTTTCAAGCATCCATGCCTACTAGACATACAATGCTTGGAGGTGGTGGTGGTGGTGGTCGATTCACTGGCGAGTTCATGGCAACTCGAGGCAGTGCAAACAATCGACCAATTATGGAGGGTGCCAGAGGTGGTCAATTCTATTGGAATAACAATGGTAACAAGACTTATTTGCGAAAGTAATATATCCTTTTAATATGCAACTTTCACGGCAATAATGAAACGAACCATATGCGTGATATGAAATTAACTTTTTTTCAGTGATTATTTTACATGTTGTTCAATCTCTTTAAAAGTATTAAAATGATCAAAAAATCTCCCACGTAGATAAAAATGTCATGTTGTAGTTTTCTTCTACTCGTCATTTTTCGTAAATCAATATTCTATTTTCATCATAATTGCAAATGTTTTGAATGAGTCAACTGCAAAAATGAATTCACTTACACAGAAACACGATATGATTGTTTAAACGAAAAACAAGTTGATAGTGGCAGAGACTAAATAAATATTTGTACTTGTGCGTAACAGCAATCGAATTTTGCTAGATCATGTGGCATTCATCGTTTCAACAGTCTAATGACTATTATCAAAAAACGAGAATTCAAATTACGTGGTTATGCTCACATTATGAATTCGAGTTTAGTGTATTCAAAAATTCCTGAAAAATTTGATCGAATTTTCTATGGGAATAGATCTAAGGAGAAGAACAAAGAGCATTTTATATTTTAACGAAAAACATCGTAAATAAAATATCTAGAAGAATCAAAAATTCGAAGAGAAAGCGCCATGATGGATGTGGGCAAACAATAAATATATCTAAATGTTGATGTACTCGGGCTCCCTGCAACATATTCGAGCTGAGAGAAAAACGATTGTTCTTGTCAAATTTTCGAGCAGAACTTTGAAAGCGTTTAGTAGTAATCTTTTAAATAAAAATATGTATGAAACGAACTGAGAACCAATCGCAGACCCATAGTTGTAACAGTACTCATTCGCATCGGAAGAAATTTTTTTTTTAAATTTTTTTCACCTAGTTGGATATTATTCCAAAAATGAATTGAAAACTCACCTGTCTCGTAAAGGCCTACTCAATCATCTACGTGTAAAACGCTGAAAAAGATCTTCTTCATTGCATTTTTTCTATGATGATACAATTAACCTCTATTCAGTTATTGACCTGCATTTTAGGTGTAAAAGAAACTAGCGTTCTTCACTTTAAGACGTAAAAGTTCCACCAGGCTCCGTATTTATCAGTGATGACCACGAGTACATGTTATACTCCTTCAACTATAAACAGAATTGAAAAAAGCGAAGTCAGTATGAGCAAAAGCAGAAGACAAAGATATATGATAGTGATAAGAATAGAAAACCTTCATCATTAGCTTATTGTTGTGGAACTTTAGACAAGTCAAAGTTAACTTTATCTCTGCTTACTCATTTATCCTAACGCAATTTTTCTTATTACTATATAAAGTCTGTTGATTCAAAGAAATATTTAAAACAAAAATGTATCTCAAGGTTTGTTATCAGTAAAATAGAAGGAGCATTTTCTATTTACATATTTTAGCTTGCAATCTATTTCCTACTCTTCGTTACGATCACTAGTAGTTCTTCATATGATTGGGAAACATTTAAGCATAATTACAATAAAAAATATGCAACGATTATCGAAGAAGCCGAGCGTCAAAAAATCTTTCTAGAAAATGTGAATCGAATTCATGAATATCGAAGAATTCATCCAGAAGCAACATTTCAAATTGGAATGAATCATTTAATGGATCGACGTAGCGCAGTAGGACAACGTAGATTTTAAATCTAAGAAAAATAAAATCCTTCTTTTCTAGGAATTAGTATCGATTAAATCAAAACCAGTTTTTAATATTCGTTCAACAGAAATTAAAAAATCGATTCAATCAGAATTACGTGTACCTGTCTCGTTGGATTGGCGTGAGAAAGGTGTGATCACACCAGTCTACAGTCAAGGCATGCAAGCAACAGATGCTGCCATTGTTGCTGTCGGTGAGTGTCTTCTAATAATTTTGTGCAGAGAATTCGCTGATATTTTCAGAGGTTATCGAAAGTTATCAAGCTATTCGCGGAGGCAAACTCGAAAAAGGCAGCGTTGACCAAGTCTATGCTTGTTGTGAAAATAAGATCGATATTCTCGATTGTATATTAAACAAAATGGGTGGTAAGCTATGTGCAGCAGATGATTACAATAAATCGAGTACTGAGTGTAGTACAAAAAGTTGCAAACCATTTGCTGTCGTAAGCGAAAAAAAAACATCGAAACAATATTGTTTAATGATTATCTATTGTTCTAGTTTAATAATGTAAAAACAATTGAATTAGCAAATGAAAATGACATGCTACAATGGATTCAAGATTCTCCACTCTACGTTGGTATTGATGCAGCTCAATTCAGCTTTCAAATATATACAACTGGTATATTCCCTTTTATTCAATTATAGCATTAGATATGCGATATTTTGTTTCTAAATCAATTAGGTGTGTATAGTGACACGACTTGTTCGAAAACAGATGTCGATCATGTGGTAAAACATTAAATAGCCATTCCGATATTCAGCGATTAAATATATTTGTTTTCGGTTAGCTTCAACTTGTTGGTTATGGTATTTATTCAGGCATACCTTATTGGCTGTGCAAAAACAGTTGGGGTAAGAATGAAATGTCAGGCAAATAGATCTTAACTCTACGTATGCTTAGGTCCAACTTGGGGCGATCAAGGCTATATTCTTATCGAACGTGGTACAAATACATGTGGTATTGCTGAATATGTTGCGCAGGTTGAGTTTAAAACGAATGATGTTACACGATTATCCCTGGTCAATCATATATGTTTAACAGTTTTCTGTTTTGTTTTACATTTGTTTTCAAATTTTTAATAAAAAATTGATACAGAAAATGGCCAAAGTTTAATAGGTCCCTCTTCCATGCGGAAGCCGTTCTTGAAATACCTGTGAGGATTAAAATGCATTGTAACTGCCGTTGGTAATTAGTAGTGTCGTATTATTCCATCTAATGTGGAGCGCATCTCCTGAACTTAATCCACCATAAATGTAATTAGGAAGTAATGTGTTTATTATTAAAAAACAAACGTCTCATGACTCTGTGTCACGGCCTGTGGAAGGATTGTATTCTAACCCCTAACTACGAACAATTTTATTCCTCAACTGGCATATGTGAACTGATTCAGCTGAAGGGAGTTCTTTGAAGTATTGCGCTTCATATTGAATTTATAATCATTATCTAGTTTTACGAGAGTAGAGAATAATATATTTACGCATTATTCTTTTAAAAGATTTCACCTGAATTATAAAAATAAATTTCACGAAAATATCCTCTGTAACTTAAATTGATCATTAATCTTTAATACTGACACGCATGAGATTATCTATCCACTCAGGATTATCGAATAATTCATTTTAAAATGTAAAATATACTCAGTATTATTTTGAATATAGGAACGTTTTAGACTAACATCGACGAAAACAACACATGTGGTATTGAAATAAATCAGTTTCACGCTCAGGATTATGAAAAAACAAAAACTTCTTGCATTTCTTCCAAGCTTATTTGAATACAAATTGAATCATAAAGTCTGTTTGACGTCATCGAACACAATTATTTTATTATCAATGTGTGATTTTAGAAAGATAATCTTTTCAATTATCAATAGAAAATCGTTTTATTTCCAGCATGAGTCACGATGAACAGGAAGTAATATGTTCCTTGAAACAGAAGAGAATTTATTTTCATACGTAATAATCATTTAGAATATGATTCTTCTTACATTTTTTCTCTACTATAGAGAAAATCCTATTAGATAGGGTGTGGGTGTGGGGAAGGAAGTTCGGGGGGAGACGACGAAAAATGAATAATTGAATTCAACTTTCAGGTTTGACACTACTGGAATACTCCTAAGCTGCTTCGGATCGCTTTCACAATTTTTAAAAAGCTGTCGGTTTCGGTTCGATTTATATTTTGACGAACTGCAATCGAGCCAATAACTAACTTCAATATTGCTTTTAAATCAGATTTCATAAAAGTGTTGAAATAAATATTCAACAAAATTAGAAAAAAAAACTTTATTAGTTATTGAATAATGAAAGAGAAAACAATCAAGATTATTCAAGGAGTACAATTTGTATTGATTGCATATAATATGTAAAAGATCAAAACCACAGACAAAATCTTGTTGTTGGAATATTACGTCGACTATTAGGAAAACGTTTGTGAACCATAGAACGATAAAGTTCGATTTTTTGACGATCAGTTCGACCATAAATATCGAGAAAGGAAAATTGCTTTAATTGTGGAATTAATTGAAAAAGATCATATTCAAATATGGAAACATGTTCAACTAAAAAGACGGAATTCTATTATTCAAATCAGGGATGTACCCATAGGGAAGACATGGGGTCTACCTCCCACTTTTGAAAAGTAGTAGGTTGCTATAGTGAAATCGCTCTAGAGGGTTTGTTTTAAAATCTTAGATCTCTGATTCAAAGATCAAATTATTATCGTGTATCTTGGAAAACTTTCTTTATTGTGATACATTTTACATTTTTAACTATAAGAAAAAGATAAACATTACGGTCGAAGAAAATTAATTCTACTGCATCAGATTGAACTATAACAACCAAGTTGTGCCACTACCGCCATAATACTCAAAAACAAATGTTTTGAAGTTCATTAGTGTAAGTGTACTGAGCTACGTATAATTCTACATTTATCATCAATTTTATATAATGCTACTCTACTGTGTACTGCATAATCTATTTCCATTTGATTTATTCAATGAAAAAAATAAATAAAAACGCTAGATGGAAAAAAAATTATTCTAATAGTTTTCTGTACTCAATCTTTTCATTTTATCGCTATTCATTGTAATGAATTTTGTTTTTAATTTCTTATTCAATCATTTACTTACGCGATGTCCAAGGAAAATCGGCGGGTCGCAAAAGACGCAATGTTTGCAAATATGGAGTATATTTGCATGCGATCACGTGCCGTAGTTAAATTTCTACGCATTTTTGTACGTAATTCTACAGCACGATTATCTATGATTCAAATAAATAATAATTATATTGAGTGTTTTAATATTTGGATCAACATTTTAATTTATTGCTTTTTCTAATTCTTAAATGCATTTTTTGTACAAGAAAATAGCCAATTCAGGATTTTCTATATTGACAAAAACAATCAAAACTAGAGCAAAAAACTTGAATAATTAATCTACTTGATTGTTCATCGTATTCTAATGCTTGTCGTAGATATTCAGCAGCTTGTTGATAATCATGTTGAGTTTTACTTGGTTCACTTTCCATACTGAAAAATTGACTAAACCAATTAGACAAACTTGAATACATTCGAAAAGATCAGTAATATATTCACTATTTTTAAAAATTTTGTACAAATATTTAATTATTTGTCTAAAATACAAGGAAACATTAGATACCAATAAATTTCATCGTGACATTGATTTAAATAAAATCATTGATTGATTGATGTCAGTCGGTTTTTGTTTTTTAAAACAAGAAAATCAACGACAACAGTATTGCCATGTGAGAATATGTCTTACCAAATACAAAGTTGTCGAAAATGCTGGCTGATAAGAATACAATGATGATAGACGTCGAAAAATATCGAGATGCTCATATAGCTATGTATAATTTAGATACATAGCTGACTGATGTTAATTTTAATTCGTACAGAAACAGATTTCTTGAGCGAAAACAAAGTGTTAATTTCGTCGACAAGGTGTATTACGTGCGTACACGATGCTTTTTTCGACATTGTGTAAAGTAGCGTGTAAATTGAGCTTAGCAAATGTTTCCTACATTTTAATTATGATTGTTACACTTGCTATTTAGAACCTTGTTTGGAACCATGAAAACTAATAGAATACGAGTAGTCAATACGACTTATCACTTAGGTAATATATATGATAGAGGGCCGTATACATCTATAAGTTTAAGTGAGATGCTTTTCTATTGAAGCTTGTTGACTCTATAAAGTGAAAACTCAGTCATTCTATATCACAGATATTTCTATTTGTCAGTGTCTATGCTAAGCCTGGCAAGTAGAAGTTGAGATGTATGACATTTACTCCGTTTCATACACTTGTAATCAAAATATCAAACTTTATTGAAAAATCCATATAACTTAAACGTCATTAACTTGAGAAAATGAAATTAGATCATCTTTCGAACGATTAACAAGACGAGATGCATCATCAATATTATAATCATTAAAAATAACTTTTACACCATCACGATCCGTTACTGATATTTCAACAAGAATCGTCGGATGCTTTTCATCATTCATGCGTAAAAGTGTTCGATTTTTTTGATGTATTGTAAATGGACTTGATGTTGCTACACGATTATGTGTATAACGAACACGCATTAAACCATATTTTACATATTGTGGCCAAAATGGAATTATCTTAAAAATATTTATTAATTTTATAAAATAGATAATAAATTTTTGTACTTGTTCATAATTAACTGATATCCATTCATCTTGTTCTTTATCTGGTACCGTTTCTATAACTTCAATGCCAATCTTAGGAAGAAAAATATTTAATTTTTAATGAAAAAGAGTTTTTAAACGTACAGCTAGTTTATTAATAATAACTATTGGTGGTGAAAATGTAACAATTTTTGTTAAACCAAATGAAGATGTTTCAATGTATACGCACACCTATATTAGAAAATTTTATCTTATTGTTAAATTTTATTTATTTACCATGTATGTTCGACCATTTGGTACTCTACAAAATGCCATACCAGTACTTTTAATAACATCAAGCGAAAAATTTTCTGACCAAAGTGTTGTATTATCTTCTTGTCCAATACCATAGAGTCGAAGTTGTCCTTGTGTCTGATAAGCAAAGAAGTCTTTCTTTCATTGCATATTTAATAATTACCTTGTTACTTGCTTCACTTTCAAATTTTTCTGGACAAACTAAAAACGGTATCTCAGTAACTTGCACACATGTACGACTATTTTCAATCTATTCAAAACGAATAAAGAATATTTAATAGAAAAATCAAAGTCTTTTACTTGAAATTCTAGTTGTAACTCTGTACGATTCAGAATCCAAAATGGTGAATATAATAACAAATCATATGATTCATGGAATGTATCAACACGTAAAACCATTCTCTATTAAATAAAAATTATTATTAGAAATATTATTATATTTATTTTACCAATATTTTTTGAGAATTCGCAGAAGCAGAGCCATGAAGAATAACAAGACGTTCATTATAGTCACCTTTTCCTTCCACTTTTAAATCGATCGGTTCTGATATCCATTTAATATTATCATAATATGGAATCTAAATATTCGAAACGACGTTTTATTTTTGAGAATAAACAACAGATGAAAGAACTTACCGTGAAGACTAATGTGGAATACTTATTTCCAGATGTAATTAGATTTAATTGATTTGGTTTTAAATAATTTTTTTCGACATTCTAAATAAATAAAATAATGAATTGAGTTTTTTTCAGATAAAAAAGCAAGAGAAAAGTGTTTATAAACTCTTATATCATGCGTATTTTTCCTAGCAAAATTATAAATTTCCGAATTGCAAATATTCTAAACTAGCAATACAAACGAACATAAAAAGCATCATCAACTATTTGATTAAATATAGGATTCGAATTATTAGATAGAAAGTTGACTTGAAAAAAGATATTTTCTATCTTTAGTTTTTTTCAATTTCATCATCTAAAGAACTAAAATAAGATTTTTCACTTACATCAATTGAACATTCAATATCAATCGGTAAAAGATTAGTTAAATGAAGAGCTAGATGAACATCAACATTTGGCCCATTTGTATTTGATGATGGATCTAATTCATTAACACCTGTCCATGTACCAGTACCAGTCATTCCCATATCATCATTGCCTATAAGCAAATATAAAGGTGAAAATATATTACTTCTACACCAAGTATCATTTCAACTTACATTCATCAAGCCATTTTTCGACTCGCTCATGTTTATCAAACTCATTTATGTCAAATAAATACCCTCTAGTAGCTGCTATTGAATCCATTGTTCCTTGACTACTAATATCGTCATCATAATTAACATTGATATTCATTGTTGAATCATCTATATTATCAATCGTTTTATTTTGTGCTTCACTTTCTTCTTTATTTAATGCAGATAATTCATAATTAATGTATAATAAGTCTGATCGATCAAGACGCATAGGCATTGCGACAGGCATTGTCTCTGACAAAAATGATCTATCAAATATAAATATTGGCATTAACATTAGGTAACCACGAAGAGATTCAGACATGTTGTTCATCATTTTTGGCTTTAATGTGTTTTTATTTGGTATTGGCTTCATTAAATCTACTGATAAAACACGTTTGAGTAAAAATTCATTTGATAAAGTTGTACGTCGAGTATCATTTTTTTTGTAAGATCTCGTCCCCCAAATGTGACGATTGGTAAGATTTCAATGCCGTTTTCTTTCATTTTCCAGATTAAGCAGGGTCTTCTTTTTTCTCTTGATGGAGTTTCTTGTGGTTTTTGTGACGATGCAGATGATGTTTTGGACATATTGCTGGACGATAATGAATCTATTTCAGATATTCTGTATCCAAGTTGTTCCAAATGCATTTCCAATCTGATATTTAATTTATATATTTCACCGATTTTTGGTTTTGCTGTCGATGTTCCTATAAACAACACATAAAGAGATTTTTTTAAATATTTTTAATTACCTATTTTTAGTAATAATTGTGTTTTTTTCTCTTTTTCAACTTCATGTTGTAACTGAAGAAAAAAAGATTGAAAATTTCCTTTATTAAAACTAATATATATCTATTTGAATTACTTCAATAGCTTCAAATGTTTGTTTGACTTTAGAATCTTCCTGCCCGTCAACAACTTGTTTCAAACTTCCGAATACAACATCAATTTTTTCAATAACATTATCGTATTCTTCACTGATTCCAATTGCTGTTATTGAAGAATTCTAAACAAAAAAATACACACAAATAAGACATGCAAACACCAGCTCTTGTTTTGAGGGTGAGGTGAGGGTGTGAGTAAAGCCCATCAGGTCGACAATTTTTCAACCTGAATCGGATCGCATTTTTGTACTCAATGAAATATTTAAATCTATACTTGAAAGTCGTTGCTGAACAAATTCTAAACATTTCTTGCGCAATATCGATCGTGATCTAATAAGAATGAAGCTATGATCGGCGTCTTCTTGTAGAGTACTGCCCTTTGAGTCTGATCCGAACCTGGGCCCAGTCTCGAACTCGGTCAACTGGAAATTTTGATAACCGGATCCGCTCGGTTCGGGTTTTGGATCAACCCGACTGATTCTAGGTGTGAGCGAGGTTGGTGACCTTGACAGTATAATGAACGTCACTGATATAAATAAGTTGAAAAGGAAACTTTCAAAATCGCCTGAAAAGACAATGTACGAGTAATAGAAGAAAATGGAATATAGCTCGGAAAAATCAGGGAATTGAGCTCGGAGTGCTTAATTAGTAGGAAAATGCAGGAAAATGAGCTCGGAAAAAGCTCATTAACGCTAAAGCAACGAAATAACAGGAAAAGAGCTCGTTTTTTCTACATACGTACATGTGTGGTTATATAGACGGGCGAATATGATGGAAACAATGGATAAACAGAATAGAATAAATGAATCATCCGTTAGCACGATGTATGTTTACGAAAGAATAATGGTAAACTATTCTTTACAAAAACTTCTTTTCACTCTGTCTTCTATTTCATACCTATAAATTATGTGAATTATTTAAAAATAGCTGAGAGGGTGGAAGAGTGGGGCGCTTATGGAAGAAGATTGACGAAGATATTTTAACTGAAAATGATTTAATGTCTTTGGCAAAGTGTCATAATGTTAGTGTGTATCGTAAGAAACGTTTGAAAAAATATGACACAATTACATTCAGATGTTCACAATATAGAAGGTTTACAAAATGTCAATATCAAGTTAAGGCAAAAGCTTTTCATGATGGTATTTATCAAATATTTTGTTCTCAACATCACGAATATGAATCACTTGAAAATTCAATTGTACCAGTAGAAATTCGTTCAGTCATTCGTGATCTTGCTCCGAATGGTTTAAGTGTTAGTCAAATCCGGAAAACGATGGAGGTGTTACATCCTGATATATCAATTGGAATAAAAATAAAACACATTGTCGAATATGAAAAAAAAGTGTCGTGCTGATATAACATTTATTGATGATTTAAAAGAATGGTGTTCCAACAGAGCCTCCTATCCAGCTGAAGACAAAATACATCACGTAAGTTTGTTTGAATTATGGGGAAATCTTTTCATCTTTTTCATTTTGTTAGCCACACCCTTTTTTGCCACACAGGCTTCTATTTATTCGTATACACATAAAGTACAACACGATATTTTGCTTTTCTCTTCGTCGTATCGAACCGAGCTCATTTTCCTGCATTTCTTACCAATTAAGCACTCCGAGCTCAATTTTGGCTCGTCCAATTTACCTCATTTTTTATTTGATCATTCGATAATTTATTAGTTGTCATCTAGAAAATAGTTTTGTTAAGTCTTTTCAATTCAAGTTTAGATAAAACAAGTAAAGTATAAAACTACTAGACGGAAATTTGCCTTGATAAATAATTGAAAATCTAATACTAACGTTTTAATTTCTGAATCAATGGTTCTTTTTAGCTTTTTTGTTCTTGTGAAAATTTATTATTTTGCAAAGAAAAGTATTATACATAATAAAGACAATTCTCTATGTATTTTAGTATTCCTTTCTTCGAAGAAAGTAAAAATATTCAATGTATGAAATAAACTCTTCGTTTCCACTGAGTTTCTCTCTATAACAACATCTCTTTGTATGCACATGTGTACAGATAGTGAAAGAGAATTTCTCATATTTCTGAAAAGATCACTAATTTTTCTTGCTTGATCATCGAAATATTTTGTTAAATTTGAAGACGCTGTCTTTATTATGAGCTAACTTGATTTTGTGTAGACGCACGTATATTTAATTCGAATTAATGTCGCATTATCTTTCTAGTGTAGACAAAGCCTTAATCCGGAAGAAAGTAATGATTCTATTGGACGATGTGATGATCAATAGATAGCGAAATATTCGTAAATCATCAGTAAAGAGGAATACAAGCAAAAACATTTTGGACATGTTTGTCTTAGTGATAGTATGTGAAAATGTATTGAATATTGTAATGATTATCTTCATACTAAGAAGTAAAGACTGGATCAATTATGCATCATTTTATTATTAAGAAAAAAGAAGATACAATAAGAAAAAAAATTGAGTAATGAGATAAGAAGAAATAAAAGCAAAACGAAAACGAAAACGAAAACGAAATTTAATCAATTATGGTAATTCTATTGCAATAGAATTTTCTCGAGAAACATAGTTTTTCTTGAATGTCATAAAAAATTGACCGATCACTTGACCCGTCAATGTATTTCCTAGTTCAACTTCATACAATCGAAGCATAAGTATAATATCTGGTGGATATTTACAAATAAAATCATGTACAACTGCATTATCTTTCATGTCATATAAATCGTGTGCACGAAGATGATGGCCAAGAAAAGATCGAGCACTGGAATAAACTATTACATTTATCCAGTGTACTTCAACAGCACGAGGTTCGCGAGGGGTACATTGAATATTTCTTATAATACTCAATTATTCTTTTCTTTAGAATGATGGTAAACAAACTCGTCCAGCAACAGCATTACCACGCTCAAAATCTAGTTTAAATACTGAAAAACGTTGTCAAACAACTGAAACATCGATAGTCCATGCCAATCGTGTTTAAAATTTCAACAATGCCTTCGTGATCATAGTGATAGTTTAATCAATCTATGCCATACCTATAATTTACCATCGTTACTCGCACAATATCGATCGTCAACAACAGATGTGTTTTCATTAGATAATATTAATCATTGGTCCGATTGTCAAACGAAAGATATTGATCGTGTATCGAAACATGTTGAATATTTAAATAATACATTAAATAAAACTAAAAGTGATTTACAATTAAATGAAAATCGATGTAAAAAACAAGATGAAACAAATAGTCGCTTGCAACAATTGATTAATGATGATAAACAATCGAAAAAAGTCCTACAAGAACTACATGATAGAAAAGTCAATGATTTAAAAAAACAATGTGATCAACAAGAAACGAATCTCATCGTCAGTGAACAAATTAAATTGCTAACAAATCAAAAAATTAAACTCAAACAACAAGTAAAAGAAGTCAATGATTTATGTACATCAAGAGGAGAACAAATCGAAAAACTAGGTAATTTCTCATAGGATCTGAAAATAGCTATTCTTGTATTTTAGAATCATCAAAAAATGAATTGAAAAACTTAATTCCAGATCGATTCAAATCCGATGATGCCATAAAAACATTAGAACAAGATCGTATTCGTTTACAAACTGAACTTGATTTAGTGAAACGTGATCTCAAAGAGCGTAATTAAGAATTACAAAAAGAACGAACGCGTATTGAAAGCATGATTTGATAAGAACAAGTGAAAAAACTTGCATCTTCTTCTAGTCTATATCAATATTTAGAAAATTCTTTTAGAATTATCAATTAAAACAAAAAGCACTTTCGTCATCCTATGAAGAATTAACACAAGAATGTGAATTACTCCAGTAAAGTATTTAATGAAATAAAACACTTCTATTCATTTCTATTTCTATTAGAAAACCAGTTTCAGAATTAGAAATATCGCATGATGAAGTTGAACAAAAACTTGAAACAGTTCAAAAACAAAATCGATCTTGTACAGACACCAATAAAGTTCAATTGTTAATGGAAACGAATCATCATTTACTAGAAGAAATGACTATATTAAAATCAAATATTGAACAATTACAACAAGAAATTCAACAAATGGATGAACGTGAGCCAATGTTATTACAATATTCTGATCTGCATGACCTTATTGAACATCAACCAAGTAAATTTTCTTTTTATCATTTTCTTTTCTTAAATTTAGTTTCCAATAATATCATAATTGATACGCAAAATCAAATGCGTACCAATGAAATTCCTATTGATTTGTTACGAAAACAAAATGATTCATTAAAATCTTCATTAGAAAAACTTTTAATTGTACATAATACGAGTCCATCGTTGGTAACGGGAGAACGTTATGAAGAACTGAGAAATCAATCGAGACAAGAACAGTCCTATCGTAGATATTCCTACAGCAATGAAAGTATCACACCGGTATGATTCGATTTCAGAAATAAACAAGTAGAAAGATTCTATTTTGTAGAAATCAAAACAAACACCATTGTGGTTATTAAATAATGAAATTGCAGAACAACAACAAGCTTTTACAGAGACAAGGCATAAGTCTATTTTGTTCCCGGGAAACATGAATTCAACTAGATTTGTTTATTTAAGATCGGTTACAGCGAACAATTACATACCACGTTTTAGCGAAAATGATTATGTTGCAAATGGATGGATTAAATCTGATCCTGATATTATCGAAATTGAAACTTCACCAAAACCACATGATGGATCATGGTCATCAAGTTCAACTCGTATACAAACAAAATATGACTAGAGGGAGCAAAACAGTAAACTAACGATTTCATGATATTTTCTTCTTCTTCTTCAGTGATTTAGTCATAACAGCTGAATCACGTTCGCCCACAGTTACACATTTTTATCGGACTATCAATAATGGTCCAACATCAACAATTCCTCCAGCATCTGATTATTGGTTTGTTATTTCAATTGTGAAAAAAATCAATTTTTTTTCCATGTAATTTCATAGACGAAGGTCGAGCATCAAGTCGCCCAACAGCAGCAGCATTGAAAAATCGTCATTTACCAAAAAGTTCACGAACTATAACATCGGCTAAACCACAAACGTCGACCACAAGTATCTGCTATACATCAATGTACAACTTCTAATAAATCATATGATGATAAACGCAATTATGATATACATAAATTATATTGTAGGACTTAAAGTCTATACTATTCATATAATTTTTCTTTTATTTGTTATGATTTGATTTGTGATTGTTATGTGTTTTAAGAATATAAAAATCAAATTATATAAAGTGCATCAATTTGCGTCTATTCGATTTTTTAAATATGTTATTTCAATAGTATTCAATTGGAGTTTTTTTACTTACAAGGGTGTGGGTCGTAAAGTTATGTTTCAAGTTAGCGCGTTCGAAAAGAAAATTTTCATTTGTTCATACTTTGCATTTATTTTTCGTCTTTCTCAAGTAAGCAGACTATTTTTAAGTTTCAGAATATCGGGGAGAAGTTACACCCACATCCTTCAATCACTTAATAAATTGTATTATAAAAACAATACACGTCAAAAGATGCAGCGTGAAAAACTCTACAGATTTACCACTCTCATTTCTATTTATCAGAAGCACAAATTCAATACTTTTTTCTTCAACAGAGAAAGTTCGATTTGTTTTTCGATAAATCTATCCCGGTTACTTTTGTTTGCACTGTACAAACGTTTTATTTTGCTACTATTAAAAAAACAAATGAGACATTTTAATTCTTTTTTCGTTTGTGTTCTATTTTTATAAGAAAGAAAACCAGTGTTTTAGAGTAGCTGCCTAATTCGACTTCGAATATAAATGCAAAAAAAAACGCTTTCATGTTTTCACGTCACTGCCAGAAATAGATTTAGATTTTATAAATTATAAATTTATAAATGAAACTTTCTTTTGCTGTTTTGCTGCAATTAACATGGGTGCGGTTTTTTTTACTTATATTCGAAGTGGTAACGATTACTTCATTCTCCATTTATAATCGAATTCGAATTAGGCAACTCATGCCTTTCCCCACACCCACAGTTGCTATGTTGTGTTTGTGTGTAGACCAGCGTATGTCCGCCTTTCCCCGCACGCACGCCGACACCCTCCCACGAAACCCTGAAAAAAGGAAATCTAAATCTATTCCTAACTTATAAATGGGAGGGATGTCAATTTATAAAAAAGAAATCTAAATCGATTCCTAAATTTCAAACGCAGTGCGAGTTAGATGATCTTTCTCGTTTGCTCAGGGATGGTTTTTAAGTAGTCGCGTTTTTTTTAATTTATTTTCGAATTATGAATAGTTATTCACATGTCAATTTATATTCGAATTCGAACTAGGCATCTCATGCATACGATAGTTGGTATAGGAAAATATTACAACTAATCAGGATGAATATTTCGAAGGTGCCAAGAAGAAATTTCACGAATCGATTAAAATAGAATTTAATTTAAAGTATACTAAACAAAAGTTATGAGATGTCATATTTAGTTATTCTAGTATTGTAATTTCTGTTAACTCTATGAAATTTCGACATTGTACACTGTGAACATTCTATTTTAGATTTTCATTGGAAACACTGTTCATGACTACTAAAGTTTCTGCACCTTTTTGGCATTATCCATTGAAGCTATCTGCCAGGTCCTGGACAAGCTTGATATATTACAAATTTTATATTCACCTCTTAATGTATGCCTACAACTGAATATGATCATTGGTACATATTATCGATATAAAGTAAGTTTCAATATTAGCTATTTGGAGATATGCCATTTTCCTGTTACTGTGAAATGAGTATAATTTATCACGAGTTCATTGATAATAGTTTTCAATGAGCCTTATTCCCACTTTGCTTGTTGGCCACAAACATGTATAAAATTGGCCACGAAACAACACGTGTATTTCGAAGGACGGTGCTTTTCTTTCATCCAATTATCACTCATTTCTTTCGCATAAAGAAAAACCAATTAGCACCTTCTCTCTTTTTCGTCCTTCTTGATTGTTTTATCTCTTTCATATGATCTTCTTCTTTTCTATTTTATTAAGAAACTATTCATATTGGAAAAATAGAAAAGTTATACTCGCTCCTATTTCTCATCGGTACAGCAATCAAACACGAAAACAGTATAAGATTGTTTTTTTCGTAACAAGAGTGTCCATTTTAAGCAAAGCTTTGAAGAAGAATTACTCATTTTCTAAATAGTTTCACATCGTTCTTTATTTCANCTATTCTTTTGCTTGTTACTATAGGTGCGTGTGTGAGTGTTATTTTGTTTTAACCCACAACCATAGTCACACCCATACCCTCACACCCACACCCACACCCACCTTTTAAATTTAATTAAATTTAAAATTCTGTATTATTTAAATTTAAATAAATTTTTTTTAAATTCAGATTAGTTGAATTTTGAAAATTAGTAGATAAACATAGTTTTTGACTTGGTTACTACTATTTAAAGTCAAATTTGAGTATGTTTCCTGTTTTCTAAAGTTAAAGCTAGCCATTCTTCTGCGAATTTTGCTATTAAATATATTCTTATGAGTATCCCAGTATTTTGAAGAAGAAAGATGATGAGTCCTGCATAATCTGCAGAGAAATTTTGACTACTATGAACAAATATTAACCTAAAATAATAGGACTTCCTCTCGTTTAGTATTTACTACTGTTAAAGTCAAGTATTTTCCTCGTAGCAATGATGTGCATCCAAAAAAGAATTTATTAAATCGAGAAATAAATTTTCAATAATTTACATTTAATTAAATTTAAAATTCTGAAAATTTAAATTTAATTTAAATTTAACTTTATATAATTTAATTTAAATTTACATTAAATAAACTGTAAATTGACACCCCTACAAGCTTGATTCATTTTAAACAGAAATTACGAAGAATTTAATTTATCCATACATTAAATTAAAAGCTACTGCAAATAGACCCCCTTAGTGTTTACTAAAATCCATTGATTCAGTCTATTAAAGAAAGAAATCTGTTTCTTGTATGAGTTTTGAAAATTTTTATTTGAATTAAACAAAAATAGACTACAAAAAAGTTTAAAATTAGAAAAAAATAAAATGGTAAGATTAGCATTTAGAAAAAAAAGGAAGTATACATTAGTGTCTTCTTTTTGTGTCCACTTGAACACCATATGTCGGCTCCACACTATAACGAAAGAAACCATAAACTATCTCCCATTCAGTTTGTACAAAATAACTTGCTGCTTTTAATATGCATATTCATATATTTTAGTGACACTGTAAAACGAAAGGCATTTCAACTCAATTCTGAAATGGCAAAATAAACAACTCAGTCATATCATTGTATCGAACGATTATGTTGCTCGCATTAACACATATGATGTAGATAATAAAAAAGCAAGCGATCACTTAGCAATGAATATCTCTTACCAATCTTCGGTTCAATTATGTGGCTACATACGTGGAAGTAACTTCGATTCACAAAAATAGCATTGACAACGTGAAAAATTAATAAAACTCAGCAATCTTCAGTACAGTTACATCACGCCTATCAAGACAGATCGTCATAATAAAGACTAAATAAATAATCACATTACCTATAAATACTGCTCAAGATTTAGTACATTTATCTTCAAAAAACAAAAATGGATTTCTGTGATAATTACCTTAATCGAGTAATACAAGAAACATGAATAATTTCAAGGATTTGGTAGTACATTTTTCTCTTCGCTGTGTACAAAATGTTCCTAGTTCAAAGCTCGTTATAAAATCATGTCAGTTACGAATAGTTGTAAGGTGGTAGACTCTGTTACATTACTCTATAAAAGCATGCCCTTCCTACAGTCAGGTAAGAACAAGCCTAATAATGATATGAAAAAAGAACTGTTTTTCCGCAAAGATTTTGTTCATATGTTTTTTTTCACTTGTTATCTATTATACTATGTTAGAAAATTAATGAAAAAGCACATAGTATATCAACAATTAGTACAACAGCCCTGAAAAACTATTTCATGGTGACATAGTAAGATTCTTGATCAAATTTTTTCATCGTTATTACATTTAACACAATATTCTATGCAATTTGATGTTCTCTTTCATATGCGATTATATTCACATTCACCAACCTCACTGATATGACTAATTCGTCCCATAGACTGCAGCCCTATTTTCTGAGTCAGATCGATCGTATGGAGAAATGTTTTTCCAACATAACATACTTTCAATACTATCAAATGATAGCCCATTGACTATACCATTAATCCTAAAAGAAGATTTGTTACAGTTCGCATCGTTCTTGCGAAAATGAAAATTTACTGAAAATTATCAATGCACAAAAAGCCCGAGCCGTCTTACTTCGAG